TTTTTTGTTCGCCTTTTTAAAGATTCTGTAAGTTTTGAAGAAAAAATTATGTTTTTTCAAGATCTCTACTATTCTTACGAAGATAAAACAGGTCTTTTAAAGTTAATTTTCTCAAGATTTTATAACAAAACCTTTTTAAAATGTTCACTTTGTACTCTAAAGTCCTAACTTTTTTATTAAGATTTTTAATTTCTCTAAAATCACAAGACTTACATTTTTCAAAGTCTTATTTTATTGTCTTTTGAAATTTTCTACCTATAGTTCTAAAGTCCATAAACTCGAAGAGAAAATCAAACGGAAGAATTAAAAAAGTGAAAAAAATTAAAAATTGTCTAAGAAAAGAATCAAATTTCCAAAAAACTGATAAGTATAAAAAATTATTTAAACCAAATTGAAAAACGAGAAAATTAAAAAAAAAATTCGTAAAATAACAAACTAAATATAATAATAGAAATCACTTTAAGTTTCAATAAAAAATGCGGTTTTTGACGATTTTGTTGCTATAAATTTTAAAAAATCCTTTAATTCTGATAGTTTTTTTTTACTTTTCACGGCTAAATGAAGGACCTTAATTAACAATTATTGTAATTAATTATTAAACTCCTCGTGCTTTTACATCATATTTGGAATGTCTACRCAATTATAAATATTTTTTAGTTTTGTGTGTTTCTCTTTAAGCTGTTGAAATTTTTATTTGAAATCTCAAATTCTTGATTATTTCACGAGATATTTATGTTTTCAAAGCTCTAATCCAAATTTCTCAATGTTTCCATCACTTTTTAAGATCTTGAACATATGATTTTTTAATTCATTTTTTTAAAAATTCTACATTTTGTAAGTTTTGAAAAAAAATTATAAAATTTTTTATCTCTTCTCATGATTTTGACAACGTTTTCCAAAATCTTTTCAAATTTTTCAGTTTCTAATTTTTTTAATCGAGATTTTTATTTACAGGATTTTGAGACCGATCTTCAAAGTATTGGACTCAAAAAATCGATTTTTATTTCAATACCTTGAATCTTTTCTTCAAGATTTTATTTTTTTTCAACCACCAATTAGGTCTTTTCAAGATTTTCAAGATTTATGTTTTCAAAACTCTAATATCCTAACTTCTCAATGTTTCCATCACTTTTCAAGATCTTGAACATATGATTTTTAATTAGCACTTTTAAAGATTCTATAAGTTTTGAAAAAATAAAAAATGTGTTAGTCTCAAAATCTCTAATCTTTTTTTTAAGATTTTAAGACACCGTTTCCTAAAATCTTTTCAAATTTCTCAGTTTCTAATTTTTTTAATCAAGATTTTCATTTACAAGATTTTAAGACCCATCTTCAAAGTATTGAACTCAAAAAATCGATTTTTATTTCAATACCTGAATCTTTTCTTCAAGATTTTAATTTTTTTTCAACCACAATCTAGGTCTTTTTTCAAGATTTTCAAGATTTATGTTTTCAAAACCCTAATATCCTAACTTCTCAATGTTTCCATCCTTTTCAAGATCTTGAACATATGATTTTTTAATTCGCTCTTTTAAAGATTCTACATTATGTGTTTTGAAAAAAAAATATGTGTTAATCTCAAAATCTTTAATCTCTTGTCAAGATTTTAAGACACCGTTTCCTAAAATTTTTTCAAACTTCTCACTCTCTATTTTTTTTAATCAAGATTTTTATTTACAAGATTTTAAGACCGATCTTCAAAGTACCGAACTCAAAAAATCCATTTTTATTTCAATACCTTGAATCTTTTCTTCAAGATTTTAATTATTTTCAACCACAAATTAGGTCTTTTCAAGATCTAACATTCTCATACCTTTCCAGGTTTTTTCAAAAATGTTTTCTAAAACTATTTTTGTTCATTCTGTTTTCTTTTTTATGTACTTGCAAGATAAATCTTGTTTGTGTATTTTCCTAATTTATTAATACATTTTTAACCAAATTTTTTTATTGTAATGTTTCTAGTACATAGTCCGAAAATGCAATGAAAGAGGACTTTTTAAAAATTTCAAAATTAAATAATTTAATTGCGGTTTTGCACATTTTTTACTGATTAAAGCACACTCGAATTTTCACACCTATCATAAAAAGTGGTTATGTCCTTGTTGTCTCAAAAAAAAATTAAAAAAAAAATTACAAAAAATATTTTTGAAATAAATTGAAATTAAATTATTAATAAAAAAAAATCACCCAAAACTTGTCCAAAAACGAGCAAAAAAGAGAAATTGAACAGCTTAGACTTTTGACACTTTCTTGCCATACCTCACGTGACCGTAATATCCCTATCTCTGTCACACAACGCAATTCCTCCGTTTCCTTTCTCTCTCTCACGAAAAAATACGTATTCGGGGCTCTAAATTTTCAATCCGGTCCTGTGTTTCAAAAACGTGTTAGACACTGGTCTATTGCGCCTTCTGAGTAGGCCAAACACGCCCCCTCATCCGGTTTTGTTTCGCTTAAACCGAGAAATTATGGCCGGTTTTACGACAGAGGATAAAAGTTTCCGAATAATGAGATAATTGATTTCAAGTTTAGACCSAACGATGGTCAAAATCGGGGAACTTAGTGGGCGGTCATGGTCCTTCAAACCAACCCATGCGTGATGACACAAAAGACACTGTGATTTGGGCACAAAGAGCCGGAAATAAACACAACAACTGTTAAATTCAAGAAGAGTTTACAAAGAATTTCATTTTATTGTAGGCAACACGAAATACGTGAAATGTGAAAGTACTCCCGGTCTTGGGTGATTGATCAGTGATAAGAGTGATAAATGGGACTGGTTGTTTGGATGATGGATGTGGGCTGATTTTTATCACTAATGAGGACCACAGGGACAAGTTTGTAAAAGCTTAAAAATAAAAATTAAATAAAAAATTTCATTTTTTTTTGAATTTTAATAAAATAGTATATTATATCACATGGRAGAGAAAGGGTTTTATAGCCGAGCTCCGTAGCATTGAGGGCATTAATAAATGCGATTTTCTATATAAATTTTCTCTACTGTGTTTTAAGTTTTATATAATATTTTTTTCACTACCGACACATTTATTACCCAAAAATACAATACTTAATGGGCATATTGGCGTAACATGTCGTAATTCWCAAATATTATTTTCGTTAATTTATTATTACCGACAGTAATTAATTACTTATCTGAATTATTAACTTAAGTTGGAAGTATTATTTCATTCTTATCGTAAATGAGATTGTCATTTTCTAATTTCCTAACCTCACAATTTTGACTGCATGTTTGCATGATGGATGTGAGCTGATTTTTATCACTAATGAATACCACAAACTAGTTTGTAAAACTTTCAAAAAAAAATTTAAAAATGATTTGTTTAATTTTTAATAAAATAGTATATTATATCACAAGGTGGAGAAGAGATTTTTATATCCGAGCTCCGTAGCATCGAGGATATTAATAAATGCGAGGCTATATACAGTGTTTTAAGTTTTATATAATATTTTTTCACTACCGCCACATTTATTACCCAAAAATACAATACTTAAGTTGGAAGTTAAGGCGGAAGTATTATTTCATTCTTATCGTAAATGAGGTTGTCATTTTTTGATTTCCTAACCTCACAATATAAAAAATTTGTTAAAATAACATAAAAAATGCAACGAAAAACTGTTAAAATTGCTCTAAACCAGTATTGTTTCAACATGAAAGAAGCCCATTTGTTGTTTTGACAGTTTTGACAAAGACAGAATTATTAGAGATGGGGTTATTTCGAGGGGCCGTTAATTTGAAAAAAAAAATGTGTACAACTAATACTACTTACAAATTCCTGTAATTCCACCAAAATTTTATTGTTTTTACTTTAATTCCTATAATTCCCAATTAATTCCAACTTTAAAATCGTAATTCCAAAATTCCTGCAATTTCAAATTAATTCAGATAGTTTTAAGAAATTTAAAATAACTTTCAAAAGAATAA